CAGACAGGAGGCCCCTGGAGAAGGCTGCTTATGCCACCCCCATGCAAAACTGACCACTCGCCTGTGCCACAGCCATGGTCAACGTCCCCTCAAATCTCTCCCGGTCCCATTTACAGAGCCAGGAGCAAGTGCACATAAGCTCCCTCACTGCCTGAATTCTGGGCTTTGCTTCTACCCCCAAAGCCATGGTGCTGACAAACCACAGAAGGGAAACCGAGAAATTTTTGGATCTCTGTGCCCAGGAGCTGAGGGAAGAGAGGTCATTGCTGGACACGGCTCCACTGTGTGGACATGCTAGGCTTGGCCCAGCTAGGCTACTGTTGACAGACATTTGAGCTGTTTCCAGTTTGGTGCCGCCGTAATAAAGTGTCTATGAACATCTTTGTATGTGTCTTTGGGCATCCTTGTAAGATTCTGTGGGGGGGAAAAAGTATCATTGGGTAAAAATGTCTGAGAGCCCAGATTTTTGACTTCAATACACTCGTAATAAAGTGTCTATGAACATCTTTGTATGTGTCTTTGGGCATCCTTGTAAGATTCTGTGTGGGGGAAAAAGTATCATTGGGTAAAAATGTCTGAGAGCCCAGATTTTTGACTTCAATACACTGTACGTAGCATTCATGCACAAAGTACTTTGATCTTAAGCAGCAGGACAGAGAAGAACACGCCTGGGGGTGAAGCAAATGTACAGATACATGGAAATTTACAAAGCGCTTAGGAAAATCGCGACTCTTACAAGTGAACTAGAGAGGGAGGTGTGTGTGGTGCAGACTTACTGTCACTGCTACAGGTGGGTCTCGGAATCTCCTGGGTGGCTTACCCAAAGTAAGTGTGAGAGGACCACTGGTCCAAAATATTTGGGGAGGAGGGTAGGAAATGGTGAGAGATGAGGCTGGAAAAATAGATGAGGGTCAAACTGCACAGGCCTTGGATGCCATGCTGAAGTTGCATCCACATGCCAGGTGGCAGGCATGACAAAGCCGGCCCTGTCACCTACTGGCTCCTTCTCCTGCGGCTCCTTAGCCCTCAAGGGTGTCAGGCAGGCGGACAGGAGCATGGAGCTCCACACCGAGCTAACTGTGTCCATTAGTGGGACAGGAAGGTGAGGGCCAGGTCTCAAGATGATCTGCCACTTGCCAGCTGCAGGACCTCAGGAATATTGTGCAGCCTTTCTGCATCTCTGTTTGCTCATCTGCAAAGTGGGGGCATTCAGCACTTTTATATGCCTGCACTGTTCGGAAGATTCAATGAAAACCTGCTTAGAAGTGTGTGGCACACAGCAGGTACTCTGCACACAGCTGACACAATTCATGGACAGTGCTCCAGTGTTACAGGTTGAAAGCACACAGTCAGCTCATGGCTGTACGCACGTGGCCTGGCACTGACAAATGGCAGATGCTCACGCCATGGGCAAACACTCCCCCCTCCCCACAGCCCATGGCAGACAGGCACTTAGAGAGCCAACGCCTGAGACACTTCCTGCCCAGCAACTGTCCAAGACGTACTCACTAGCAACCCAGTACTTCTTAGTTATAGAAAGGAGACAGGAAATTAATGGGTCTCAAAGTGGCTTCAAATCAGCTTTGCTTTAGTGACTCTCAGTCGGACGTGTTGCTCAAATCTTCAGACCTGCTTGCAGCGTCAAAGGGAGGTGCTGCCTTTGGGACTGGGCTCCTCTCCTCGGGGGCTGGGGAGACGAGAGCAGCAGGGCCTGGGAGCGTCTCAGAAGAATGGGTGCCAGGCACAGTGTCCTGTGAAAATGCAGGGAAGGTCCGCGTGAGGGCCTGGGCATGATCACCTACACAGTGAAATGACGGGTAGCCAGGCCTGGGGCAGACCAGTCAAAACTGGCCGAGGCAGTTCTCATAGCAGTGACCTGGTGGTTTGAATCAAAATTCACCACTGCAGCTCTCTGATCCTAGGTTACTGTGGAGTAGCCGCTCTCTCGTTTCTCTGGTGAAACAAACAATAATGGCAAAAAAAAAAAAAAAAAAAAAAGGG